ACCCCCCCCCCCCCCCCACACACACACACACAAAAAGGGATTGCTCTTGGTCTTGCTTGGGTTTTTGGATAAAAATCTTAGGTTGGTTTACTGGAAAATCCAAGTGAATAAGTTTGTTTTTCTTTTTTTTTTCTTTCCTTTTCCCTCTCTATTATTGCCAGTGCTTTTAATCATCTGAATGCCTGCACAATTCAATTTTTTCAGTAATCATTTCGTTATCTTATTATTGGTAATGGTGTTTCTTTTGATGTGTTAACTTTTTTCTTGATATTGAACAGATCCCTCTTTCTCAAATTTCTGAGGATGTCTATAAGACATCAATTGACTGGCTTAACCAGCGATCGTTTGATGCTCTTGGTTCCTTTGTGTTATGGTCATTGGATAGCATTCTTGCTGATCTTGTACAGCACCAAGGAGCTTCAAAGGGATCCAAAAAGGTGGTTCAGCAAGTACCTTCAAAATCTCAGGTTTGTGCTTTGTCTTTTCTGCATGTTATTTTGAGAGTTTTGTGCCATGTGTGGTGTGGCTACAATGAATCAACTGCTGTTGTCTTTTTATGGTGATAGAAGAAAGAAGCAGTTGCATGTGTGTTATTGGAATTAGATGAAGCTATAATTTCGAGGAACCTTATCCCCACCATAAAGGAGAAAGAAAAAGGGTGAATGTGGGGAGAGGGCATGGATATCTACACCTTGCATGTGTTTCGTGGTTACAGCTTCCTGGTAGCAATACGTATCTCAGGGTTTCAATACAATCTAGTAATCTATAGTTGAGCGGCATCATGGTTAATTAGTATTTAATGCCCGATTAACTGACAGCATATAGATTATGGCCTTAGTTTGGTAGGTCATTAATGAACAGAGGTAAATATCACTACCACATTCTTTGTCGCTACTATAGCGAATCTAGGGTATTAAAATACACTACCTCAAAAGTTATAGTGATTATGAAAATCACTTTCCAGGACAAACAGAACACCGTGTTAGTAATGGTAAGAGCTCAATTTTATTAACAACCCTCCAAAACAAGCTTGTTTGTATATCCTGGATGTATTTCTATAGCAATCTGTATTAAATGCTCATTTTGCATGTTGGATTTGAAGCCCTAAGAGGGTAACAGGAGGAATCTATCCGGAATAAATGTAATAATTACTGGGGATTTGAATTCTGTCCTTATCTAACTAAAAGCTTCGTAATTTTTTCTAAAAAAAGAACTCCAAACTAAAAGCTTTGTAAAACCCTCAGTTTGCCTCTCGCCTTTGTAATATTTATTACTTAAAAAGTTTGGAGTCTGGAGTTATTTCTCTTTCATATCTATACATTTGTGTCGTCATGGACTGGTTTTGCTACATCGCGTGATATGTTCATTTATTAATTGGTTGGGGTTGTGTAAATTTTATCTTTTCATGTTAACAAATCTTCTTTCTTGACTAGAATAATAATTATCTGATCCATTCTTTTTATGAAACTTGGGTCAATCGCGTCAATTGCAGCGCATTGGAAACTGTGTATTTACTCTGCTTGTCTAGATGTTCTCCATTTCAGCTTCTCATTATCTTCTTCTCAAATTTGCGTCAGCCCTAAAAATTTAAGAATACTTACCTTGATCATTGTGTACTTCAACCTTCTCTATTGAGAGTTCCCTCTAGGTTCTTGCTGAGCTCTCTAATAGACACTTCAGTGGAGAAGAATTGTCTGAAACTCTATCATCGCCTTGTGAATCTGCATGACTAATTTTCTTCTCTCGCGTTTCTGCTTCCTAAGAGTTACTAGATGCAGTTTTACAATTGTTTGCAACTGCTTTCAAATATAAGAAAAGGAAAAGAGGATGTCAATGTGGTGTTGCTTAATTAGTAGACTGGTCTAAGTCAAACTTTATTCTGGCATAGTTTTATTCTTTTGGTTCTTTCTACTGTATATTAATCATTCAAAATCTGCCACAATTTGGTAAACTTGGATATGAAGGATCTCAATAGCTAATAATTGTGACATCATATAAAGTACTTATCTAATATATGTCATTGAACTGCAGGTTGCCATGTTTGTGGTTCTAGCAATGGTATTGCGACGGAAACCTGATGTTTTAATCAGTCTCTTGCCAATAATGAATGAAAATGCGAAATACCAAGGACAAGATAAGCTTCCAGTCATGATTTGGGCAATCACTCAGGTAAAAATCATCATTCGGTGGTGTTGATTTCCTTTCTAGATAATCTTTCGGATATTCCCATCATCTATCATTTCTCCTGTGCTATTTTGTCTCTAATTCTTGTAGGCTTGCCAAGGTGATTTGATCGTGGGATTGTTCATGTGGGTACATTTTCTTTTACCAATGTTAAGCAGTAAATCGAACAGTAATCCACAGGCGAGAGACTTAATCTTACAGTTGGCTGAGAGGTACGTATTTCTATTCTTATTAAGCTTGTCAAAAAGGTGTTCGATCAGTTCTTCAGGTGGTAATGTGGGTTCTTTTCTCTTTCAGAATTGTATCCTTGCCAAAAGCTCGTGCTATCCTCATGAATGGTGCAGTGAGAAAGGGAGAACGCGTTGTGCCTCCATCAGCTCTTGAGGTTTTGATGAGGATCACCTTCCCATCACCTTCTGCTCGAATCAAGGTGATTTTTACCACTGTCATTATGCTTTTTTCCCTCAATATTCTAATAAGTTGCTAAAAGAAATCTTCTGTATCTGAGTAATTTGTGATGCTGCTTGTTATGTTCAGGCCACTGAAAGGTTTGAAGCTGTGTATCCCACACTGAAAGAGGTCGCTCTTGTTGCTTCCCCTGGGAGCAAAGCAATGAAGCAGATAACACAGCAGATAATGCTTTTTGCTATCAAAGCCGTTGCAGAAGGTAAAGCAAGAAGTTATACTCTATGTTGGCTTTGTGGCTCCTTTGCTAGCTTCAGATTTGTCTGTGATTGGTTATACGGCTTTATAATCCTGATTATTACATGTTTATAGGAGTCCCTGAGCTAACAAGGGAAGCTAGTGAGCTATCTATGTGGTGTTTGACTCAGAACCCTGACTGTTACAAGCTGTGGGTAAGAACGCTTAGTTCTTGTTTTTTTCCTCTGTTGGTCTAGTGATTCCAAACAGTCTCTTTTGTCTTTAAATTTCTAGTGACTCCTCTGTTATGTTTGACTGCTCTGTTATGTTTCCCTTTGTGATTGTAACAGGACAATGTTTATCTGGACAATGTAGAAGCAAGTCTAATAATAATAAAGAAGCTGTCTTCAGAGTTCAAGGTGCATTCTGCTAAGGGACCTGGTCTTGATCCCTTGAAGGTGGCCTTAAACAGTATCCGACTTAAGGTACATTAGTCTTTCTGTAGTTAAACATGCCACACTGATATTTGTTAAACAAAAAATGAAGTGTATCAATATAGAGTAGGGTGACAAAAGTTTTAAAAACTGTTGGTTAGTCTTGTATTATCGCCTGTTTGCAGTAAAAAAAGGTAATTATGGCTTTCAGTTTCCCTTTTGGGTTGTTTTTATGGAGTGGGGGGTGGGTGGGGGTGGGTCG